TTCCTACTCATTAACTAACTTGCCCTCCTTTTCCCTCCACTAATTCTCCCTATATAAACCCTTCCTGGATCTAGACCGGCAGTCAGTAAGTTAATTAGTCAGTTTGGAAATCGTCAGCTTCAACGCCGTCACGCCAAACACTACCAGCCTCAGCTTCAACACTGTCGCCTCCCCGTTCGCCGTTGTTATTCTGTTGCACAGCTTGTGCGGTGCCCCAGCTTACCGTTTACGCGTCATTTCCGATATTTGCTCTGGAGAGAGGTATGTATTAGAAGAATAAACCGCTGGTATTTCTTCTCTGTCTACCGCTGCTGCAGTCAAGGACCACGTAACGGGCCTAACAATCGTAGCAAAGAAGCAAAGCGATAAAATCCGAACCAATTCAGCATTTATTGGCTTTCCATCTCTGTCCACAGCACCCTCCGCAACGATAACAATGTTCAGACGTGAGCCCGCATCACGCATCATCTGCAGCTTATGGCACAGCACTGTCGGCCACTCCACCGGCACCGGCCATTCCGGTATAAAGCAGAAATCTGCCTCAGATGCCAGCGCAGCAACCAACGCCAAATAACCACAGTGACGGCCCATAACCTGCAAAATCTCGCTTTTCAGGGGCTCAGCAAATGCACAGTTGTTACTGCAGCGAATTCTCCTTTGGAGGACCCAGAAATTGCCCAAGCCAAGAATACTTTAAAAGCCTACGAAAACAGAGAATAGCGGTTATGGGTAGTGAATGTCTACAGTACAAAAATCTCTGGGTGAAACTTAAAAAACGAATGACGGAAATTACAGTTTTTAGAAAAACTTCGAAAGTCAGCAGAAGAGGTAGCACTATAAGACCTGGGACAGCTTCACTTGTGTCAGAAGAAACAAGAAACGATTTTATAGACAAAATAGGCCGCAAAGCAACTAATTGAAAAAAGCGGAGAAAATCTACAGAAACTTTTATGGGTTTGCTTTCATCGATACTTATGGTACGCTTTCTTCATTTTGCCTTCTACCCTTTTGCACCAGCTGTAATACGCAAAAAAGTGAAAAATGCGTTACTTTACTGTGAAGGCGATGTTCCCGCCTTACCCTTTACCCACAACCAAAATGACAAAATACAAAAATAATAAAAACTTGAATCATCCTTCGATGAAATTCCAGTCAAACATCGGGAAGCGACGTTCCCATTGGAGGTCAAATCTCCCACAGGAATCCGACACTCCATTCCCAAGCCATCTTTTCTCCCCCCTCCCCCGTCGACTTCCCCATCGTAGACTGAATCTACGACGGCCCAAAACCATCCCTGGTTCCCTTGGTACTCAGTCCGGAATCTTAAATTCGAAGATTGTAGTGCCTGATATCTATTGCAGGAATATTTGTATATAAGCCTGAAGATCCAACAGTTCGGGGTCCGTGCACAATATCGTTTCCTCTCACTGACTGAGTGCCCTGCATCAATTAAACTATTCTCGCCACTGCTGGTAACTGGTCAGTCCTTCACTTTGTGCTTATTATCTTGTCTAATAAATCCTCTTTCGCTGCTATGTTGACCCAGCATCCCATTTTGGTTTCTTCGGTGCATCGACACTGTACCAAACCTACTTTTTAACTATACAATGAATACCAGTGAAGTTCTAGGTGTGGACAAAATTTGCACAGATAACATCTACGCAGAAATCCCCTTTTCAACATGAGTGTCGACGATCTTTACAAATTCACATCAACACAGAGGTGGTATTGAGACATTAATGTAACTAGATTTAATGCAGATTTTAATTTGAATAATGTAGATTTTAATTTGGAGGCCTTCCTTTGTGTTAATCCAAAACCGTAGAAATTACCATTACAAAAAAATGCAATCTTAAACCTCAATAACAAATGTACGTTGATGACTTTGAGCAGTGGATATCACACAGTCAATTGCTTCACA